CCCCCGCTGCCTCCGCCGGCGGGGCCCCCCGGCGGGGCGCGGGGGCCGGCGGGCGCCCCCGGCGCGGCGCAGGTGGCAGCGGGCAGCCTACTGGCTCTGCTTATCCTCTGGACGCTCTTTGGGAATGTGCTCGTGTGCGCGGCCATCGTCCGCTACCGGCACCTGCGGAGCAAGGTCACCAACATCTTCATCGTTTCTCTGGCTGTCTCGGACCTACTGGTGGCCCTGCTGGTCATGCCCTGGAAGGCGGTGGCTGAGGTGGCTGGGTACTGGCCCTTCGGGGCTTTCTGCAACGTGTGGGTGGCCTTTGATATCATGTGCTCCACAGCCTCCATCCTCAACCTGTGTGTGATTAGTGTGGACAGGTACTGGGCTATTTCCAGCCCTTTCCGCTACGAGAGGAAGATGACCCAGCGGTTGGCTCTGGTGATGATCAGTGTGGCATGGGCACTGTCTGTGCTCATTTCCTTCATCCCTGTCCAGCTCAACTGGCACAAAAGTGAGGATGTTGTTGCTGCTGGTGATACTGGAGATGGATTTGGTAATGCCTGGGCAGCAGCAGGTGCTGTCACTACCTGGGCAGAAGATATGAGCACCACATGGGTGGCGTTAGCAGCAATGAGACCCTCTGATGCGACCTCTGGCAGCAATGATACCCTCACTGGACCATCAGAGAGCTGTGACTCCAGCCTCAACAGGACTTATGCTATTTCCTCCTCCTTGATCAGTTTTTATATCCCGGTGGCTATCATGATAGTTACCTACACTCGAATCTACCGCATTGCCCAGGTGCAGATTCGTCGTATCTCTTCCTTGGAGAGGGCAGCTGAGCATGCACAGAGCTGCCGGAGCAGCCACATTGACTGCCACCATCACACAAGCCTCAAGTCCTCCATCAGGAAAGAAACCAAGGTGTTGAAGACACTCTCTGTCATCATGGGCGTCTTTGTCTGCTGCTGGTTGCCGTTCTTCATCTTGAACTGCATGGTGCCCTTCTGCGAGAGACCACCCAGTGACCCCCATGCTGGCCTTCCCTGTGTCAGTGAGACCACCTTTAATATCTTTGTCTGGTTTGGTTGGGCCAACTCCTCTCTCAACCCCATCATCTATGCCTTCAATGCTGACTTCAGGAAGGTTTTCTCCAACCTCTTGGGATGCGGTCAGTTTTGCTCTAGTACTCCAGTGGAGACTGTTAATATAAGCAATGAGCTTATCTCTTACAACCAGGACACCCTTTTCCATAAGGAGATAGTGACTGCTTATGTTAACATGATCCCAAATGTGGTTGACTGTGAGGAAAATCGTGAGGACCCTTTTGATAGGATGTCCCAGATCTCCCCTGACCATGAGGTTGCCACTGACTCTGTTTGTGACCTGGACTGTGAGGGGGAGATTTCGCTAGGCAAAATAACACCTTTCACTTCAAATGGTTTACATTAAATTGTATCCTGCTCTGATCAGTTCTTCTTGGATTGTAAAAGAAAATATTAGCACTGAGTGGAAAAACCTGCTGTAGTTTGGTCAGTCACTTCATGCTAAACTCACTTCTTTGTGTAGAACTTTGCGGGATGTGGACACTGTCATACAGGGGACTGGCAGCACAAACTTAAATCAGCACTTCCCCAGGCTGAGAGGACCAGGCAGTCATGTTGATTAGCTGTGGTGAGGTATTGTGGTATAATTACAGTCAGTTCATGTTTATAACGTGTTTGCAAGTGAAAGGTGCCATTGTCACTGCTAAGTATTATGACTTCTAAAATCAGGGATGGATGTGGCTGGCATAGACATTACATAGAAAAAAATCCGGCTTGTTTGTTTGTTCAGATCTCATGTTTCTTTTTCTCTATTTTTGTTTGGTTTTTTGTTTTGATTTTTGTTTAAAGATAGAAATAGTGAGGTGGTGATTTGGATGATTATTTAAATGTATGTTTCTGCCAAAACAGATTATGTGAAACCCTTGTTCTCCTAGGCGGCGTTGTTGCCTACGATATCCTCTGTTCCCACGTGAATAAATAAAATTTATATTGATCAAGGGTTTATTATCTTTCATTTGTCACCCTGAAAGGTTTACAACAAGTATTCAAACTAACAACATTTCTATTTGAATGATTAGAATGACTAACAGCTAAACCCTATTATTTTAAAAGCAAAATAGTCAGTATAGAAAATACAGTTTTTGAACAAAAGCAAGGTTCAGAGAACACTTGAATTAAATGAACTCGTTTATATGGCCCTTACAGATAGATTTATGCCTCTTTTTCTTTAGTATTATAAATGATGTTATCCCTCTCTGCAGCTAAGAATATCAAGTACACATGTAGATAAGCTATTAAAACTTTCCACTTTATTCTGTACTTGAACTTACTTTTTTAAATGATATTGATGAAAAGAGTTTGGTGATAGAGTTAGGAGCTGGATGTGTCTAAAAACAATAATTATGTTTGACAACAATATCAATAATCAGCATTTCCCAATGTAGACACTAGAGAACTCATTCACTCTGAGAGAAGAAAAAAATGCTGTTGATGTATTTTTTAGTTACTTACTTATTAACCAGAATTTAAATAAGCTGTAAGTGCTTTGACTATACAAAACATTTTAAAGCAGTCTTTAAAATTTGTAAAAGAGTGTTTTGAGCCCTGTTGCTATTGAATCATTTACACTGAGTGGTATATTAGAAACAGTTGTAAGCTTTCAGCTCAGAAATCAAAACTGATTTTATTTCCAAAACAAATGATCAAAGGTAGTAAAAGCAATACCAATATTTGTTTCAAGTTTTGACTCACAAAATGAACAACACTTGGATTAATTTACCCTTTAAAAATACCCGTGCCAAGAGCTGAGCAGGTGTAGGTGTGGATTAAACTGTAGGTGTGGATTAAACAGCCCTCCCTCCTAATGGCCCTGACCTGGGGCCTCCCAGTCCTGCCCAACTGTGAGCTGAAGGCCCCTGTATGGTGTAGTGTATGGAGGAAAAGTGGGATCTGCAGTAGGCAGCATGGTTCAGGGGAATCATTTAACCAGATGCTGGAATTTGTGAACATTATGGGCTTAATATTGAGCCTCTTTGGAAATCAAACCCTTAATACCAGTTTGGAGGTTGTCTTCCCCTTGGGATATGGGGTGTAAGGAGCACAGGAGGCATGTGATTTAAATTCCTTTTTGGTTGCCTCTGCTGCAATCTGGGTTCATCTGCAAGCAATGTTTTATGTGTGTAGTCTTTGATATTAATTAGTTATATCGTCTTGGATTATCTTTTCAATTGCTTGTCACTGAAGATTGACATCTACCTGAGCGTTTTCTTTGCTCTTGATATGAAATCTCAGTGTAATATCCCTTTACAGCTGTCCTTAGGAAAGGGTGTTGTGGCTGTGGCTTAGGGAAACTTGGAAAACAAATCTTATGCCCATAATGAGGTTCAGCCTACTAATGGCTTGACATCAAGGGTGTGTATGTTACCACTCCTCTGCTAAAGCAATCATATGTTGTCAGGAGTTAGCCGTAGTTCTAGCCCTGCTGTTTAGATAAACTTGCCCAGAATAATACCATTTTCCCAAATGAAAATGAAGGAAACTGCTTCTGGTGGTGCAGTCATGAATTATCCCAACCACAATTTAGATTTTTTTTGAATTTTCTAGTTACTACTCAAATTTTGAGGCTAGTACAGCATGTTAAACTGTCTAGTTTTGTGCAAAAAGCTTATGACATCCAGATGCAAGAGGTGCAGGCACCTGGTGCTGATTCCAGCTCCCAGGGCAATGCCTG